AGAATCCTATCGGCAGAATGACGTAACTGTCGCTTTTCCACAGTACTTGCTGGTTTACAGAGCATGTCTGTAGATGTGTTTCATTTTGAATCTCATTATAATCCTGAGGGGTAGATAGGGCGGGCCTTTCATTTTCCAGATGAGAAACCAAGTGTGAGAAGAACTTGCTCAAGTTCATGGGTAGATGGCAGGAGTGACACCCCCTCCGTTGAAGGCCAGTCTCCACTAAAGCAGCCCCCTGGAGAGGCCATACATGTACTTCAACTTTGCTCACGAAGGTTTTGAAACTTCTGTTTTGGTATACCTTTAATATCTGTAGCACACCTCTGATATCCTCAATGAAGGCACTATTTCATCTTCTAAGTTAGTGGTTCTCCAACTAGAGTGTTTCAGAATTGCCTGGAGGGCAGATTGCTGGGCTCCACCCCCAAAGTTTCTGATCCTTAAACTTGGGGTAGGGCCCAGGACTTGTTTCTAATGAGTTCCCAGGGGATGCTGATGTTGCTGGTCTGGGGCTCACTTTGAGAATCACAATGCTTAGGAATTTATTTCTGGAAAGAGTGAATCTGTTAAAACTGAGTTTAGTGATTAAGGTGTGGATCAAGCTAGGGAATTCCGTGATTGGCAAAAATAGTGGGCAAGGATAACGCACACCAGCTCTAAAGGGCATTCAAATACGACCTCCCACTCACCTGAAGGTTCTGAACAATGGCAGTTGGATTGGACTGAATGTGAAGCTTCCCACCGTAACTCTTTTAAAGGGGAGAATTCTCATGAGTGTTTAGCACACGTGTGAGATGTTCATTATCAACCTTTTACTTTCCAGCTTTAGAAAAAGAAAAGAAGCCACGGGGGTGACACCCACATTAGAGAGAATCAGTTATGAAGGAAGAATTAATAGCTATTTAGCAGCTGAGCTAGTGAGACTGGTATGGCAGGGGTCCTTTCTGTGCTGAAAACATGATGGGTGGGGAAGATAAAGGGAAAATTTTGACTCTTCCTACTGACTATTCTGCTGAGATTAGAATGGAGAAGGTGAAAAGATCTGATTTTGGATGCCAAAGATAAACATGCAACATTTTATGGGGAAAAAAGTTCCAGCAAAAAAGAAAAATGAACTACATTAGGTACTTAAGCTGGGAGTCAATCCTTCCTGTCACAGCAGGGAAAAAAGAGGCGGAGGACTGCCTAAATATTGGTTCTAATTTTATTTCCAAATCTACATTACATTAAACTCTCCTTGTACTCCTCTTTAATTTACAGCAACTGCTGACACAAATTGGTGTGCCTTCTCTTCTTTGACATCAGTATTTCTCTTGAATTATGCATTTTCATCTGGAACGAGGTTTGTGGGGCTAAAACCTTCTTTCATTTAGATGGATGAAAACAGAGAGGGTTCAATGGGGGGTCGAGAACAAAATCAATGCGGGGGAGGGGGATGCATATGTTCAGGGCAGCATTTCACTGCCCAAAAAGAGTGTAAGTGGTATTAAAAAATGACACTATATTGATTAAAATTCAACTACAAGAGAATAAGAAAAACTCTACTAAACTTCATCCCAGAACTGCCAGATTCTCCATTTATTGGTGCCCAGAAGTATTTAGTAATCATTTGTAAGAGTACAGATGAACATAATAAGTGTATCACTTCAATTTGATTTAAAATTGAGTCAAAGACAAAAAAAAAAAAAAAACCCCACCAGCTTGCTACCGCATGTTTCGCCCATCCCAACCCACATGAATGTAGATGGTTGTGGTGTTCTGCCTCCGAGGTCAGCACCACGGACTGATGGGGCTCCATTATTGGTAACAAATGGCTCCTGGTTCAAGTCAGCAATGTTCCCTATTGACAGAGGTCATTTGTTGGATCCATCTGGGGCCTGACTTTGTGTCTCAGTGTCTCAGGGTCCACTCTCAGCTTCTGGGTTTGGATGGGTTCTGGGCTGGCCAGTCACACCAGTATGGAAATGGGGCATTTTGATGAAGCTGTTTTGGGCTAGCACTTGCATAAACATGGCCATGTAAAAAAAATGTAGACATATTTTCTCAATATACTAAATAACATACAGAACAGATATCTCTTAACCCACCCCATTTCTGCACCTCATGTCACCCTCAGTTCGAGCCTGGGCTTCACCCTGTGGTGATCCTCAGCCATCTCTGAAAACTCTCCATTTTAAATGTTTACCCATCTCCCACTCCACCCCCGGAGTGGGAACCGATGATAAGGTAAAGCTGTTCGCTTTGTATGCTTGATTAGAAAAGAGAAGTTTATGTTTCAGTTATAATAACTTAGTGTAAAAAATGTTCCCGAATCAGTATGGCCACATGAAAGCAGCTCTGGCATAAGGTGCTTCGGCTGAAACTGGCTGTGTGCCCACAGCATGTCATGACATCACTTTGCCTCCAGTGTCGCTCCAGTGTGACCAGTGGTTGGCTAGTCTGAAGAGCACGTGAGGGTCTACTGTCAACCTGGGATTTGGCCCTGCTCTGGCAACCTGCAAGTGGGGGGACCCTGGGGCCCAGAGCCCAGTGGGCAGCCCTTGCCCCTCTGCAGGTTCAGGGTCAGGGCTAACGTGCTCAGCAGGCGCCACTGCCAGTCACAACCCTCACAGCTCTTCTGTCGGGCTGGCCACAGAGAACGGCCTGCGGAGACTTAAAACTGGTTACAAACCCCATTCTGGCCAAAATGTCTGTGGTGGGCTAATTTATTCTATAATTTAAAGAATTCCATTATTAATGAAAGAGAAGGAGAATCCTGAGTATGAGCTAACACTGGAATAAAAAAGGCCCATTCTTCAGGCAATATTAATGGGAGCTTTGTATATAAATAACTTCATATATTGGTGAATAAATGGCACTTATAACTAAAATGTCTGTTAGTGAGTCACTGGGTTCTAAAGACTGGCCTTGTCTTCTGTGGTCAGCGATCTTTCTTCTTCGTGACTCCACTATTCTAGACAGAAAACAGTTAATCCAGTATGATTTAGTATCTCACAAATGATTCCGCTGAAATATTTTCTGCCAAATGTTCATCTTCTAACAGCTGCTTTTTTTTATTTCAGTGAGAGGCACTTGAAATAAAATCATTGTTCTCTGTGAAAATTGCATGCTAAATAACCCAGAGCCACCAGATTATTACACGGCAAAGGCATTTGATAATATTAGCACCAACCGCAGGTTCCACTTCTGCTGATGCACAAAATTTTGAGTAATTAGTCATTGCACAATATTATACTTATATCCTTTTTGCTTGAGCTGTTAGGCCACAAAATCAGCAGGCAGTTGCTGTTATAAAAGGCTCCTCTGGGTTATTTATAATGTGCTGCTTCCTTACAGTTGCTGCTTTACTCTTGGGTCTTGGGCCAGGTCTACACAGTAAAAATGAAGGAAGGAACTGAGTGATTGTTCTGTGACTCTTGCTGCTGAAAGCTGGTGTGGATGATTCACACGAACTGTGTGTGCCTTGGCTGGAATACCTGGTATTCCTGTCTACACAACTCAAATTCATCCCAAACTGGCTCATTTGTCACTTCATCGGGGGAGAGCCTGTAGTTACGTGAAGTTACTTCTATTGGGAGTAAGCTAGTGTCTGCGCACAGGTGGTAGGGCGAGATACCAGAACTCGCATCACGTTACAAGAGTTTCCTTCAAATATTATTGACTTTAAGTGCAGGATAAATTTCTGCTCCAAATGCTTCTCTGTTGCATGGATCAGTGATTCCCCAAAGAGTCAGCCAGGACACCCAATGGTGTGCATTGGGCATTATTTCATTTCATTTCATTTTATTTTTGTAAATTACTTCCTGTGCCATCTGCAGAATCCCTGATGATATGAGCTGTTTCTAATGGGAGTAGGTCTTAACTCTTAGGTGAGTTGGGGCTCAAAAAAAAAAAATGCTGAGATCCACTGAGACTGGTAGAATGATCTATTTGTTTTGACCATGAAATAAACATCTTACGCCCCCAACGCCCACCTTTTAAAAAATGAAATGAACTACCATTGTGTCCTCTGAATTCTTAAGAGTTCTTCAACCCACTTCTCAACATCCCGTTACCACCTCTCTAGTCCAGGCCATAATCTCTCACCAGATCAGTGCAACAGTCTATGGACACTTCTTCCTGCCTCCCGTATTATAATCTCCAGAAGGTCTAACATATACCTAGTAGGGATTTCAGAAGAGGATGGAGAAAACAGGGGGGAGTTAAATAATAATTTGGTTAAGGTTTCTCAAAATTGATGAGAAACACAAATACTGAGATTCAGGAAGAACAAAGTCATGAGCAGTATAAATAAGAATAAATTCAGATCTGGACTCACTATAGTAAACCTGCAGAATGGCAAAGACCAAGAGAAATTCTTACAAAATAATACTACTCTTCTGTTCAAGTGTCCTACAAGCTAGGTTCTGATATAGGCTGAATCTTCATAGCACTAAACTCCTTAAGCAAAAAGGTCATTTTGTGTTTGTAATGTTTTACTTATGAAAAACTACCTGAAGCAAAAATAGCAAAAAGTTAAGAATTAACAAAGCTGGGTGGTGGATCCATGGGTGTGCATGATATTATTCTTCATACTTTTCAGTATAATCAAAACATTTCATAATTTAAAAAGAAGGAAGGAAGGAAGGCAATCCAATTGGCCTTGGGACTACTGAGGGAAGTCGTAAATGTTAAATCTTTGATGCAGTCTGTTCACTTACAAAGTAATCTACGCAGTTAGATCTCATGTGCTAAAACTAAAATTAAAGCGAGGACTAAGTAGGGAAAAACATTATCCTAACTGGGAACAGAACAGTTATGGGGAAGTCATCTAGCAAACGTAACCATGCTTTTCCTTTTCCCAATTTTGGTTTATTTTATTTTATTTTATTACTAGAGGCATTGAAAGGAAATTAATTAGAAGGTGGCCGGCAGGGTGGGACTGGGCCAGACAGGTCGGACACGCCCTGGTGCCAATCTCCCGCAGTCCCTGGTCCCTCCCCGGCCGGCTGCCTCACCTGGGGTGGTGCTGTGGCTTGAAGGGCGTCTGCGGAGTGAGGGAGGTTCCTCCGGCAGGTGGGGTCCCTTGGCCTGGAGTGCGAGAGGGCACTCTGAAAAGTTGCTGTCGCTTGGCAGCTCCTGTGTTGAGCATCTGCCCCCTGGTGGTCAGTGTGCATCATAGCTACTAGTCGGGCGGTCGAATGGTTGGATGGTCACTTAGGCTTTTATATATGTAGATTATTTTTTCCCCACCCCAAGGCAGGATACCTTGTCACACCACCCATTGAAACAAAACAACACAACATGCTGCCGCCTCACCCAAAAGTAGTGTTTTCACTTTGCCCTTTCTTGACGGCTCAGTGGGTCATTAGCAAAAGCCCAATGAGTGCTTTTAAAAGGGGTCAATTTTAGTTTATTTTAACCAAAGAAGGAAAAGGATATAAAACTTTCAGGTTTTAGAGAATCTTTTAGGGGAGATGTAATTCACCTAACCCCTGGCCCCTCTCTCCCCCAATCACACAGCTTTTTCAGGAGTTGTTCTATAGTACAGGGCACTCCTCTAGTTTTTAAAGGAATGGGAGGAGGAAAAGTGAGAGTGAGTAGTCGCCTCTTTAAACTGTCCCACTATAGCACATTCTACTCACACACACATGCACACGTAAACACATGGCATTCATGCCACTAACAGTTTAGTCACACGGAGCATGTCAACACGGATAACACACCACTAACTTACAGCACATACTTTCACACAGAGGGCAGACAGATGCTCACCAAGCTATGAACGACACCCGTTTTACTCGTTTCCTGTCCACCTCTATCACCAATGGGCATTGAGGATAGTGGGCACGGCTCCTGATCACTAGGCTCTACGGTTTGGCTCCAGATGGTTTTCTCACATCCTCGTAATTTCAGGTCTACCCAGGAGATATCGCCACGCAATGGGAACCACATAGAAGACCTACAGTAGAGTCCCGGCAGCTCTGCTCCCCAGAGTGTGACTGGAGCGGCCAGGAGCAGGCCAGAAGCGGCCACGGCTCCTGCCGGGGTATCACACTAATAGGAGAGATGGAAGGCTAGGCAGAGTGGGGCTTAGGGGCAGGAGCTGAGAGGAAAAGAAGTCTTAGTCGTAGATGGGTGAAAAGCTGCCACAACCCCTACCACCCCTTCTTACTGGGAGAGGGACTGTTTCCTGTCTCCTTAATTAGGTGCTATCTAGGCCCACGGAACACCACATCGAGATTTAGATTTTGCTGTCTTGACTCTGCTATGGTTCAGAGTTGTTGTTTCTCTGCATCCTACCTCCACCCCTCTTCTCTTCTTTTAGTCCCTGGCCATACTTGAGTTCCGAGGCAGGGCAGGGATCCCAGGTGTCCTCGGGCGTCCCTAAAATGTACTGCCCTGGACACGGGTTGATGCATGTCCGGTTCTGGCTGAGGGACGGTACTTTAGGAAAATGGAAAAAACAGCTTCGTGTTTGGCCCTGTTTCAGTTCCTCAAAGTGAGGATGACATTTCTGGTAAGCAGTGACAATTAGATTTTTAGAGCCTGGGTTATCAACTGCTCCCATGCAGGATTAAGGAAGATAATGTAAAATATTTAATTCTGCCTGATTAGCTAGTAAATGAGGTGATGTGCTGAGGTGGAAGTAATGCAATAGAGCTAATCTGCCCCCAACCCCCCGGGGCATGACAGGTGCCCTGCGCCTTGTCCATCAGTCTCTCTAGCAATTACCTTGTCCTCTGTCCTTTCTTTATAGCCAGAGAACATTTTGTCGTCTTCATCTTTTCTGGCAGTAGGGTCAGCAGAGTTTGCAGATGTCTCATCCATTTATTGACATCATTCCTAAGGTTAAGAGGGCTATTTCGGAGCCTCATTGGGGTTTACTTTATTTTATGATGCCAACTTCAGAGATGTCATTTTCCCTCTGTAACTTATTATTATTATTATTTTTGGCCTTGTCTTTCTATGACTGCAGGCAAAATAATCTGATAGGTTTTTGAAACGGGAAAGTGGGTAATTATTTTGTTTTCAAATAATTAAAAGAGAGCATTTTTCCCTGAGCTTTATTCTTTCCCTTGGCTTATGCAATGTAGAATTTCAGGAATATGAGGAGTCCTGTGGGTCCTCCAGTCCCTGGAGAACATGGGCTCACAGTGAGTTTGAGGAACTCACACACACACACACACACACACACACACACACACACACACTAGTTAACTTTCTCAGAGGGAACTAGAACGCTGTCGTTTTTTCAGGAGGGCCTGTTACTATATGCCCAGCATTGTATTAATCATTGGGTTGCCCCCAGAGAACTTTGAGTTAGACCCTGGGGATGGCTAGGAGTTTGCAAGACAGGGAAGAGGACTGTTTTCCCCCCCCTCAAACTACAGAGATAGTTTGGGGACGCGAAGAAAAGAGGAATTACCTTCCCCTCAGCCTCTCTAGTTAGCATGTCAGGCCCCTAGTTAAAGAAGTTTAATGAAAAGATGATTTGGCTGTAGTCTCTAAGGGTGGTGCACCTCTCCTCTAGGTTTGGTCATTCAGTGACAAGAATGAATGAGCATCATCTTTGCCAGACCCTGTGATATCTGGGCCGGCACGATCCTGCCACACTGCTATCCACACAGTTCAGCTCCTTGCCCTATATAGGAAGATGCGGGAGTTCGATGGGAGTGGGACCTGGGTTTCCCTCCAGTGAGGTACAGTGAGGAAAGTCATATCCACTCTACGCAATGGTGAGTGATGCAAGCCCCTGGTACATGCTGCCTGGTACTCCCAAGTGATCCAGGGAAAGTGAGCAGTCAGACACATAGGGACCTACTAATGAGAAATAACACGTACCGAGTGCTTATGTGGGCCAACCACTGTTTTTAGGGCTATGCATGGGTTATTGCACTTAAGTGAGGCTGCACTGTATTGCACAAAGCAAGCAATGCCTTTGCCAGATCTGGCAGCTTCTGAAGATCGAGATAAATGAAGCAATTATAAAAGCTTCTATCATGACAAGTGACAAGGCAAGTCAGTGCAGGAAGCCCAAATACCAGGAGAGATTGAAGGCCAGGCAGATTGCCACCAAATCAAGAGGCAGAGTGGTGCGTTGGAGGGTATAGGGGTGTTAAAGTGGGGTATACAGACAGACAGACAGACAGATCTAAAATCAATTCCTGGCTTTGCCTACTTTCCAGCTGTATGACTCTGGGCAGGTTATTTACCTTTGGGGGTACTGTTTCCTCCTCTCTTAAATGGGCACGGACCCCATCTTGCTGGGTTGTTATGAACATGTGAGATAATGCATAGCGTCCAGCCTAGTGCCGGGGACAGAATAGTGCCTGCTTTTCATTATTAGCCAGAGGGTCCTCATTTCCAAGAGTCTGTCAGAACCAGGACTTTTAGAGGTCAAAGATGCTCAGAGATCACCCATTCTAGACACATCACGTCTGGGCGCACAGCCTGAGCCCCAAGCATACCGAGCTTGCCCACAACAGCCTGCTAGTTACGGCTAAGTCAGGGTGAGAACTCAGGCCGTCACCTGCCCTTGCCCACTGGGACCGATGATTTCAGTTAAACCATACGCAAAACTCTCAGAACATTTCACCAAAAGGTGGTTTAGGCTGACCCTGTTAGTTCACGTCAGATCATTTCCTCCTGCCGAACAGCTGATGTTTCAGTATTCACTTTAGGTCACTTCGGAAACACATTTATTTGTTTTCTTGTGTATGTTAGTCTGATTGAGCCACCATAACAAAATACCACAGACTGGGTGGCTTAGACAACAGAAGTGTATTTCTCACAGATCTGGAGGCTACAAGTCCAAGATCAAGGTGCTGGCAAAGCAGGCTTCATTCTGAGGCCCCTTCTTCAGGCCCCAGGTGGATTAACAGGAACCTATCGGTGACAGCAGCTCAGATGGCTGCAGGCCAGACCTCAGGATGAAGGGAATACAAGGAGAAGTGACCCTGGAAAGCACTGGGTAACCCATCAGCCCCAGCAGTCACCACCCTCATGAGTGCTTCCATGCAAACGTAACAGAAACTGTTTCCACTTCCTACTGGCGCAATCTCCACTTTAGAGCTGAATCTCAAGCCCTCTGTGGTCCCTTGGGGGGCGTCTCTGCAGCTAGTGCCTCACCAGCAACTGTGAATACTACAGGACTCAAATATAATAGAAAGAAAGGGAAATAAAGATTAAGTAAGAGAATCCCCTATACCAGTGGTCGGCAAACTGCGGCTCACGAGCCACATGCGGCTCTTTGGCCCCTTGAGTGTGGCCACGAAGTTTCAATCACACTGTATGTGCACGCCCGCACGTGGTATTTTGTGGAAGAGCCACACTCAAGGGGCCGCAGTTTGCCGACCACTGCCCTATACCCCTGGTTTTTGATTACTCTCAGCTTACTTATATACTGTAAATTATGATGATTTATTACAAAGTGAGTGATTCGTGAGAAGGCAGATTTAGCCTGTGGGCGAAATTCTTAAAATCAGAGTGTCTCTGTATATTCTAGGACAGTGATGGCGAACCTATGACACATGTGTCAGAGGTGACATGCGAACTCATTTTTTTGGTTGATTTTTCTTTGTTAAATGGCATTTAAATATATAAAATAAATATCAAAAATATAAGTCTTTGTTTTACTATGGTTGCAAATATCAAAAAATTTCTATATGTGACACAGCACCAGAGTTAAGTTAGGGTTTTTCAAAATGCTGACACGCTGAGCTCAAAAGGTTCGCCATCACTGTTCTAGGACATAACCATTTACATGTAGAAAAGCAATCCTATGTAATAAAGGCTAATATGCAAATTGACTGAACGGCAGAATGGCCAGTCGCTATGACACTCACTGACCATCAGGGGGCAGACGCTCAAAGCAGGTGGTCAGTGTGCTCCCATAGGGGGAGCGCCGCTCAGCCAGAAGCTGGACTCACGGCTGGCGAATGCAGTGGCGGTGACGGGAGCCTTTCCCGCCTCCACTGAAGTCGGACATATCCCCGAGGGCTCCTGGACTGCGAGAAGGCACAGGCTGGGCTGAGGGCTCCACCCTCCCCCCGCCCCCAGTGCACAAATTTTGTGCACCGGGC